GAGCAGGAGCCAGCGCCTTGCAGGTGGGATGCTGCAGGACACTGGTTGCGCCACCTCTTTGGCCACACAGGAGCCCACCATGAAAACGAGGGCGCTGCCCACCCCAGTGGGCTCTCCACTCATGCCACACATTGGTGCTGAGTACGGCACACATCCCCAACACACACAGGCAAACATGTCCTGGGGTCACACAGCTCACCTGGCAGGGCTGGAGCGGGGGTCCTGCCTGTATTCCCACCTCTCTAGGACTCCTGCCTTCAGCTTTTGCTCTTCACCTCTCCCCTCTGCTTGGCTTACTCAAGCTTTTGGACCTCCTGACATGACTGAGCTGGCAGCAACTTTACAAATCGTGTCTTAAAATAAGAGCCAGAGCACTCATGGGGCTCCAGACACGCCCTGCTGTGCCCCTGCCCACAGCGTGTCCCCGTGTTTTCTTTCTTTTCCAAGCTCCTCTGCCAGGCAGCTGAGATCCCCAGGGGAGAAAAAGATGGTGCGAAGGAGGCAAAGGAGTCCAACACCACATGGTGGCCAAGCCGTGAGCAGAAACACCCCACAGGGAATGCCAAGGTGAGTGCTGGCACCCTATGGGCATTGGGGGGGGTGTGGGCAGGGGGCTGAGCCCGCAGGGCAGGGGTAGAGGCTGTGTGCAGGCAGCCCCCAGGGACACCTCTGCATGTCCACCCAGCAGTGCAACCTGACCGGCTGGTGGAAGAATGACCTGGGCTCCAAGATGCACGTGACCACGGTTGACCAACAGGGCAACTTCACTGGCGAGTACATCACTGCTGTGTCGAGCACGCAGAAACCCATTGAGCCATCCCCCCTCATCGGCTCCCAGCACTTGGACAAGGATGGGCAGTGCACCTTCGGCTTCACCGTCAACTGGAGGAAGTTTTCTGGTCAGTGGCTTCAAATATCTGTGCCTGGTGGGGTGTGGGATGGAGAGGGGAACTCAGGCAGGTCCCAGTGCCCACCCCAATCCCTCTGTTCCCTCTCCTGTCCCCAGTCTGTCCTCCCCACTCTGGACAGTGCTTGCAGACAACCCCTGAAACACTATTCAGGCTAGGCAGCATCAAGAGTTCCTTTGACATCATCTCTGCCACAGAGCATTTCCCTGCAAACACCAGGACCCAGCTGGGCTCCAAGCACATTAAACACACTTGTGAAGCCCCAAAAGCAGCTGGGGTTCCACTGAGATGCTAACAGCCACCGCTTCCCCAGACTCCACAGCTGTATTCGTGGGACAGTGCTTTGCTGAGGATGATGGGAAGGAGGTTCTGCAGACTTCCTGGCTGCTGCGGGAGAAGGTTGACTCCCTGCCCAGCGACTGGAAAGCCACCAGGTAAGCCAAGGGACACCCAGCCCAGCTGGGATTCCTGCCTCTCTGCTGGCTGGTCACCAAAGGGCTTCTGCTTTTCCACAGGACTGGCCGCAATGTCTTCACTCGGATAGGATGAAAGGAGGAGGGAGAACCCTTTCACTCCAGCCAGGCTTGGGAGACCAGGAGACCTCTCAGCATCATCAGCATACAGGAGCATCGGGGATGTTATCAGATCTGGGGGAAGATGTCCCCAGAACACAAAATAAAATATTTTTTTTTTCTTTAAACCCAACTTTGTACAGTCTGTGGATATGTCCTAAGGAAGATGGGCTAAAGCATTGCAGTGGGTGTGGGGTGAAGCTCTCACTCTCTTATTCTGGGAAGAGATTGGCCCAAAGAAAGCCCCTTTTCCAGCCCAAATGGGATGGTGCATCCCCAAAGTGACCCTTGGACAACAAGCATGGGCTCTTTCTTGCTCGATGCTGGGTGAGCGTGATGGGAGGGTAAGATGGGGGGGCCTTCTGCACCCAAAAATCTAGCTGGGAGCACGCCCATCTCCGAGGCAGCCCTCGGGCAGCCACGTGAGGGATCTTGTCTGTGTCCATACTCCTGGATTGGCGAGGGCTGCTCCATCTCTGCAGCACAGCACTGGTAGCTGCAGCACATCCAGCCCCCCCAAAGCCCTTCTTAGGGAAATGTGTGTGATTTACAGGAAAGCAAACATCCAGCCTCAAATCCCTGCCTGCTGGACCTCATGATTTACTGTAATAGGCAGTGCCGGTGCTGCCCCAGTGACTCCTGCCAGACAACATGAGCTGTTTCCGGGAAACTCAGCTGAAGTCTGAATCTGAAACTTCTGAATCCTCCAGCTGTCCAGTCACAGAATAAGTCCCGAGGGTGCTGCACAACCTGGGCTGTCACCCTGCCTGGGATTTGAGCAGGCAGGAGTGGGCTGGCAGAGCTGCCACCTCTCTCTTCTCCCCTGGTTTTCCTGCCACGAATGACATGGGAGAGCTTTGCTAACAGTATCCATGGCTTTAGTAAGTTTTCCACCTGCTCTTTGTTTTATCCTGTGTCACAGGAGACTTGCATATGGTTTGCTTTTTGTGTTTTTCTCCCTTGGGTCCAACTCTCGCTTCTGGAGCGGTGCTGCTGTTTCCTTCTCAGTGCCTTCCTGGAATTCTCCAGCTTTTTCAGTTCCCTTACAGCCTTTGTGAGCAGAATGCCTTTACACCAGCTGTCCATTATGGTGTCCTTTGGTTTGTGCAGCCTTTTACCTGCTTTAGAGGAACCTGAGAATTAGGAAAGAGGGCAGCAGAGGGACCACAGGACTCTGCTCTCACCCTGAACCATGGTCAGGTCAGTGGTGGGGCATCCTGCTAAGGTTGCAACCTTACTCCATGAATCCTCCTGATATCAATCTTTCATGTCAACATTTCCCTGTGGCAAGTCTCCCCGGAGGCTGTGAAGCCATTCTGGGGTGCTCCAGCAAGGTGGCAGCGCTGGCCATGATTCAAGCAGTCTGCAAACCCCTGTGAGCAGCCAGGGTGATGAGAAATGCAGCAGGCATGGGCTGGTAGAGCTTCTTTGCAAGGCCAGTCCCTATATGAGGGCACCCAGCCAGGCTGCGATGCACCCAGCATCTTGATTTTGGGGTGACAGGACACGGTGTGCCAAAGGTTCCTGCAGGTGACTGGGGGAGGGGGGTCTTTCACTGAGGATGCTTCCCCGTGGGCATTGGGCATTCACCAGTGTTGGGTTGTACCCAGCTGTAAGACCTGCCTGCAGTGCTCTGCACACCGTGCACCTCTGCTCTGCCTCTCTGAGCCCCAAACCCAGCACTATTATCTGCAAGGCAGCGGGGAGCAGCGGGATCCCCTTCAGCTCCACTACAGACCTCCCTCTGGGAGGAAAACCAGCCATTGCTGCTGCATGACTGTGTTGGGTTTGGGGGGGTGGGAGGCTGGGTTTTTTGTTAGTGGAGGGAGGGTCACCTTGTGAGAGTGAAAAGCTCCCCTAGCTCCAAGGCAGAGACCCCCCAGCCCAGGCTGGACCAGTGAGCACCAGAGAAACACCTCTGTGAATCCATATTGGTGAGGGGAAGGGCTGTCCTGAAAAGAAGTAGGTGGAGAGAACCTGGTGGAGAGACCGTTGACCTGAACAAAAGATAACCATCGGCCTAAACAAAGGACAGACACAGAGAGAGAAAAGGAAAAGAGAGAGACCAGTTGCCAGAAGGAAAAGACAAAGAACCATACCCAGTTCTACCCCATGGAGTAGGAGAAGGCAAAGGAAGTCCCTTGCAGCCCATGGAAGTTCAATGGCGGAACTCCAGGCTGGGGCAGAGAAGCTGAGCCTGAGGACAAGTGTGACTGGAACTGTCGCCCCAAGAGTCACTCGCTGCCAGGGCGGGGGTGGACCCCCAGAGTGGGGGGTGAGTCTGCAACTCCTGGATGTCCCCATGCCGGAGCCAGGAGCTGAGCCCCAAGAGGTCCATGACTCCATGGGAAATTTGTGCTGGAACATCTTGTTGCTGGACTTCCATGCCAGGAAGAGCAGCAGAGGTGAACTGACTGAACCCCCATTCCCTGTCCCCTGTGCCACTGTGGGGGGGAAGATAGAAAAATCGGGAGCAAAGTGATTTGAACCCAGGAAGAAGGGAGGGGTGGGATGAAAGAGTTGTAAGATGTGGTTGTTATGTCTACTTAGATGATTTGCAAAGAATTAAATTGATTTTTCTTCCCCAAGTTGAGTCTGTTTTGCCCGTGACCATAACTGGTGAGTGAGCCATCCCTGTCCTTCATTCCTAATCCCGTGACCCCTTTGTTATGTCTCCCATCCCATCTCACGGGGTGGGGGGAGTGCATGCAGGACCACATGGTCCCACTGTGGGTCAAACCTCCACAATGACAAGCCTTGGCCATGGTCATTCATACACCATAGATATCTTCAAGGGGATGGGGAACTTGAGGAGGCAGGAGGCACTTGCAATCACACGCAGTGTATGGCTGCTGCTGTGTCATGTTGCACAGGTGCTCACACATAATGTATCGGTTAAAAAAAAAAGGAAAACTAATTTGTTGGGATCTTGGCATGGGGTAATGCTCACATAAGGGATCAAATGCCTCAAACAGTCGGTCACTGTTTGAACAGAGGAATCTCTGTTGCAGGGCTCCTCCAGCATCTCCATATCTTAACCACATGCAGAAGACTATCCTACATGACCATTTCTGCAGGGACTATTCCTATTGACTGTTTACAAATGTCTTAACACTGAACATCTCAGTGCCCAACAGCTGTCTCAGTCCAGCTGCTGTCCCACCTAAGCAGATGGAGCCGTGGAGTTCCCAGGTCACTCAGGGACTGCATGGCTGGTCGGTTTGGGTGCGTGCAGAGGCAAAGCCCCATACCCAGGCATGCTGCAGTGATGACAAAGGAATAAAGTTGGTTTTCAAGCCTGTAATTTCACTTATAAATGAAGTCTCATAACTACGCTACGTCTGTGTGGTTATTGCTCCTGCCAGCCTCCTGGTTAGGACCTCACACCCTGCTCTGCTCCTCTGCCTCTCTCCTTGGCCCAGCTCTGACTACAGCCTTGGTGAGCACAAACCGTCATCCTGGGAGGATGTAGGAGCTCCTTGGCCAGGTCCTCAGACCCTCCTGGGGCTGGCAGTGAGCTGGGGCACCCTCCCAGATGTGATTTGCCTCCCCAAACCATGGCTGAGCTCATCACACTTGGCAGTGCTACCCCTCGGGTGGACGGGGGACCTGCCAGCTCTGTCTTCCCCTGCAGCGTTGTCAGCAACATGTTCACCTGGTTGGAGAGAAACCTTAGAGGAGGTGGCTGTGCCATGTCCCTGCACAAAAGCCAGGCAGCCTGAGGGTCCCTGGCCAACTGCACATCCTCAGTGCAGTCTCGTACCATTAGGGACACCTTGGGAGGTTTCACACAGGGCTCTGCCATGGAGCTGTACCCATGCCCAGCCTCAAAGCACCATGCATGGGGCATCACCTCCCACGGGGTCTGTGCATGGGAGCACCACACACAGGGCATCCCCTCTCAAGAGGAAAAGCAAATTTTAACATCTACATGTCTTCCAGAAAAGCCCTTCTGCACTTACAAGAAGGATTAATTCAAGGATGTGCAAGATTTTCCACTGCAGTGACAGTTACAGCTCCGATAGACAAGGGAAGTCCAGCACAGCCAGGAGAAAAAACAGCTTAGAAACAGCAGCAGAAACTTGTAACGCAGGAAGGGACTGCTGTGAGGAGGAAAAACTGCAGGCAGACACACCACCCTTCAGTGCAGCAGAGGAGAGCGGGGTCGCTGTGCTTGCTGCAGCACTGTATTGGGGTGGCAGCACTGGGACAGTGACAGTGGGACAGTGCCAGGCTGTGCCCACCCCAAGAACTCCATCACAGAGCAAGGAGTGGGATGGCAGAGCCTCTTGGATAGTGGATGTGCAAACCATCCCTGCACCCCGACCTGACCTCTCTCTGCAGCCGTGCTCATCCCCGCGTTCCTCCAGCACTGCCCAGGTCACGCAGACCTCCTCACCTCGCCTGTCCTGTCCTGGGCACCCTGCCACCAGGACACCCGCCCCATGGCTGACAGCCCAGTGCCCGCAGGGCTCTGGTTACAGCCCTATAAAGGGGGCCGGGGTGTGGGGCTGGGAGGGAGCTGTGCCAGGCACTTCACAGCCCCATGGCCATGGGGAGCGCTGCCTTTGCCCTGGTCCTCGCCCTGGCCCTGGCAGCGTGTGTCACCCCTGCAGAGAGGAAGGTATGGAGATGGGTGATGATGGGGACGTGACAGACATGCCACTGGGATGCAGCCAGGGGTTCTCTCTTAAATGCCATTTCACGCTGGGATGAACAGGAGAACTTTGCAAGCACCTGGTCCAGGCAATGGGCAGGGTATCTCTGGGTCCCCCCAGCCACATGGTACCATCTCCACAAAGCTTTGCTCCCACAGGAGCACCATGCACAGGGCATTCCCTCCTATGGGGTCTGTGCCTGGGAGCAGCACGCATGGGCGTCCCCTCCCATAGGATATCTGTCCAGGGCACCATGCACAGGGCATTCCCTCCTATGGGGTCTGTGCCTGGGAGCACCATGCACAGGGCATTCCTCCTATGGGGTCTGTGCTCAGGGGCACCATCCATGGGGCATCTCTTTGCACAGGATCCATGCCCAGGGAGTCTGTGTCTGGGTGTCCCATGTGTGCTGGCCTTGCTGCACTGTCCACTCAGTAGTCAGCAGCACCTGGGAGAGCATTTCTTCAAACTGGGGACAGGGAGAGCTGTGCCCCACAGTTGCACTCACAGTAGGGCTTGTGGCTCTGGCCATGGGGTGGTGGGAGGAATGGGGTCTCCCTCTGCACCATCCACAGGGGCAGAGGGCTGGTGGCTGTGTCCCTCCAGTGCCAGCTCAGCGGGCTGTGGAGGAATGAGCAGGACTCGCTGATGGAGATTTCAGCAGTGAGAGACGATGGGGACTTCCAGGGGAGATACCTCACACGGGTCACCCTTGCTGGTGGCTGTGCCCGCATCTCCCCTCTGAAGGGTGCCCAGCAGCAGCCCGGCGAGGGGGGCTGGCCCACCTTCGCCTTCACCGTGCGCTGGGACAAGTTCTCCAGTAAGTGCTGGGACACCTGGGGATGGCACCACGGGGGCACTGGCAGCTGCACAGGGGGCCAGCAGGACTTTTCCTCTGCTGGGAAGTCTGCTGGGTGATGTTCTGGTGCAGACAAGCAGAGAGAGGCAGAGGCATCTGGCCAGCCTTGGGCTAATGAGCAATGCTGGGCTCACATGGGGCAGCCCCTCCTCACCCAGAGTCTTTGCACCCGTCCCTGCCAAGCAGCCAAAGGTGACTGTGGTGGGTCCATCCAGACCCCATAAGGTCATCGGGGTGCTGCAGAGCCCGTCTTACCCGAGGGAGCTGCTGGGGAAGGGCAGGTCCCCCGGCCATGGGTTGGGTGGGTGCGTGGCCCTCAGCACAGGAACATGGCTTTGGCTGGGAGGAACCTGGGGAGGAGGAAGCAGTCAACAAGCGTGGGTGCCATCCCCACCGTCCCCCCACCAAGCACTTCCCCCCAGATGCCACCACCGCCTTCGCGGGGCAATGCTTCGTAGACACGGGTGGAAAGGAGACGCTGACCACCATGTGGCTGCTGCGCGAAGCTGTTGGGTCCCTCAAGGACGACTGGAAAGCCACGAGGTAGTGGGGGGACATGGGGGGCAAAGCCCTACAGAGGGGCCCTCCCCAGGTCCCCTGAGGACAAGCATCCCCCTGGGCAAGGGGACCACCCCTGGGAACCCCCCAGGGTGGGTTTGCATCGGGGATGCCAATGTTTCCTGGCAAGGGGCTTGCCATGGCCAGGGGCACCCAGTGGTTGCTCGAGGCAAGTTGGTGGGTATTTAGGGACACCCCTGTCACCTGCTGGCATTGGCAGCCCTGTTGGGCAATGTCTGCAGGTTATCCCACAGGAACCCTCTGCTTCCCATAGGGTGGGCAGAAATGTCTTCACACGCAAACGCATCCCGAAAGGAAAGATCCTGCCAAGCTTGTCCCCATCCTGTGAAGACACGTCTTCACCTGCCCCATGACAGCATCCTGCCTCCTGGGCAGGGAAAACCAGCCTTTCACATAAAAATAAAATTTAAAAATCATGTCAGCTGTATATGTTTGTTTTTTAAAAAAACTGCTCTCACTCTTCCTCTGACGCAGCTTCTGTCCTCACAGGCACCCTGGAGAGGCAAGGGCTCAGCACTGCCCTCCCCCAGGGACACCTGATTCCCCTCATCCAGCTCCCTGGGCTCATTCCCCACCTCATCCTAATCTGAAGTCCTACCCTGTGCCATCACTCCCCGCCCGCCTGCCAGTGGCAGAGGTAGCATGAGCATCCCAAATCCAGTCACCTTCCTTGCAGTGCCCTCATACCCATCCCCACCAGACACCTTTCCAATCCCAGGGCTCCATGCTCCCTAGGGCTGGGTGATGGAGGTAACGGTATCAGTAGATGTGAGATATTGGTAAAGTGCTTCCTTCTCACTGCATGACATTCAAAGTAAAATGTGCACAGTTAGAGCCTCCATTTCATTGTATCCCATCCCATCTTATCCCATCTTATCCCATCTTATCCCATCTTATCCCATCTTATCCCATCTTATCCCATCCCATCCCATCCCATCCCATCCCATCCCATCCCATCCCGTCCCCCTGGGTTACAACCAGGGATTTTACCCATCTCTGCTGCTGCATTTCGGCAGTGCCACCCTATCTGCCTCTGTGGACACCTGCCAAGCTTAGTCAGCTCTTTCCACACAAAGTTTTTGGCAGGTCCATGGGTGAAGATGAAGCCTCTTGCAGAAGTGTTACAAATATAATCCAGTTCCGGGGATGCTGGCACACCAGCCATACAGTCTGTCGAGCCTGGCCCAGTCCCAGCAAGGCCAGTGCATGCTGCCATGATGTGGAGTGGTGGCTGCCACCTCCCTGGCACCTCAAACAGGGCAGCTTGTCCCTGCCAAACAGTGCAGAAAGGCAGGGGCTGGTGTCAGGCAGAAAGGATGGAGTGTGGCACCCAGGGCAAGAGCAAGAGATCTCCCGAGGGGGATTTCTCAAGCCTCTATGACAAGCCTGTGAGTTTGTGCCTGTAAAAGGCAACAAGGAGGAGTGATGTGTTAGGAGAGGGGTGGTTGCTGCTCACCCCAGCCTTTGGAGCCATCTGGACCAGAGGGAAAGGTGCTGAGCAGCAGCAGGGTCCTGAGGTGTTCCAGGGCTGATGGTGGGCATTGAGCAGTGGTGTCCCAGGGTGGGACTCCCCACCCCTTGTACCCACATCACAGTCCTCCTGCCATCCAGCACTCCAGACACTGCTGTCCTGGAAATATATTTTGTGCATTAATTGTGATTATGCAGTGAATCCCTGGTGACACCAAGCTGAGTGGTGGAGTTGATACAATAGATGGAAGGAATGCCATCCAGAGAGACCTGGACAGGCTTGAAAAGTGAGCCTACAACAACCTAATGAGGTCCAACAAGGCCAAGGGCAAGGTTGTGCACTTG